GGGTCCTCGCCCCTGCGGCCTGCCCCGCTGCACCTGCTGGGACTGTCGCGTCCGTGGAAGTAGGGGGAAGAGATCGGTGCTGGGAAAAATGGTCACGCGTATCTAGGCCTGGTATTGCGGTGGTGGGGTTCGGGAGGTGAAGGTCAGCTCTCCGCAGCATATGTGTGTGGGGTCACTGGATGGACTATCCGGGGATGAGAAACCTAGAGGGGCTCATCAGTAAGGAGAGGAGTCACACCTGAGTCATCTGCAGGGGCAACCAAGAGCCTCCCTTGCAGGCAGTTGAAAGGGTCTGCACAGTGTAAATGTTGTCCGTACCTTCTCCACAGGGCCTGGTCGCCATAATAACCGGAGGCGCCTCGGGGCTAGGTCTGGCCACAGCAGAGCGACTGGTGGGGCAGGGGGCCACTGCTGTGCTGCTGGACATGCCCAGCTCGAATGGGGAGGCCCAAGCCAAGAAGTTAGGGAAGAGCTGTGCCTTCGCCCCAGCTGACGTAAGTGGGGTCACTTCATATCTCCCCAGGACACCGGCCTGGGAAGCCATGGGGTCCCCCCCCCCCATAGGGTACTGTCTATGTAAGGGGTGGGCCCGTCTCCCTTTCCTTTAAAAAAAAAAAAAAGTTTTTTTATTGAGTTTTAGAGAGGAAGGAAGAGAGAGAAACACATCAATGTGAGAGCAAAACATGTATGAGCTGCCTCCTGCATGCACGCCCCCTACCAGGGATTGAGCCTACAACCCCTGCTTGTGCCCTGACCGGGAATGGAACTGTCAACCTTTCAGTGCATGCCCAACCAACTGAACCACACCAGCCAGGGCGACCCATCTCCTTTTCTCTTCACAACAGTGAGGATAGGGATTGAACATATCAGAATCTCCTGGAGGGTATAATTTGAAAATTCATATGGAGCTCTGTAGTTTTATATCTACAAAGTTGAAAAACTTTTCATGAAACAAACTACAGACAGTAAAGTTTGATGCAATCATCTTAGCAGGTAGAGGTACAAAAAAGCTAATCTGTCTTCATATCACTAATTCTCAAAACAGTGCTCTGATCCACAGCAATTGAGACTCTCCGCTGGTATGTGAATTCATCAAAAGAGGATATAGATTTGAAAAATGTTTTGAAACACTGTTCTGTAGTACCTAACATTTTCAGCTTTATCCCACTCTTGAGTTTTCTCTTGGTCTTTCTCTTGGTTATGTAATTCTGCTCTCCCCTCCCATAGGTTTAGTGGTGTGTGTGTGCTCTGGGTGATACCTCCTCCACTTCTCCCTCTAAAGGTGACCTCAGAGAAGGACGTGCAAGCAGCCCTGACTCTAGCAAAAGAAAAGTTTGGCCGTGTGGATGTGGCAGTCAATTGTGCAGGCATTGCAGTGGCCATCAAGACATATAACTTAAAGAAGAACCAGGCCCATACCTTGGAGGACTTCCAGAGAGTTCTCAATGTAAGGCCTTGGAGGTTCTCCAAGGGTAGGAATAAGAGGTGTCTGGCTGTGAGTGTTCCCAAAGCTTTTAGGGGACAAAAGGCTGCTTCTGCCTCAGGTCCTAACCATGTCTCTACTGGTCCTCCAGGTGAATCTCACAGGCACCTTCAATGTGATCCGCCTTGTGGCTGGAGAGATGGGCCAGAATGAACCAGACCAGGGAGGCCAACGTGGGGTCATCATCAACACTGCCAGCGTGGCTGCCTTTGAGGGCCAGGTGTGTGAGTAGAGGCAAGGCTTGTGCCTCCTCAGTGACTTGCTGGGGGCCCTCCCACCTATGACCTCTACTCTTTCTCCAGGTTGGACAAGCTGCATACTCTGCTTCCAAGGGGGGCATAGTGGGCATGACACTGCCCATTGCTCGGGATCTGGCTCCCATGGGCATCCGGGTTATAACCATTGCTCCAGGTAGACATATCCCTCCCTGCCACACCTGGGATTGGGTGGGATCCATGGACAGTTGAGACGGGAAAGTATCCATCACCTAAGCAACAGCAGCCTTCCATCCCTGGGCATAAGGAAGTACTACAAGTAGGGCTGGAGTTGGGTAAACATGAAAGCGAGGGCAGGCCTCTGACTCTGTCTGTCTTGTCTAGGCCTATTTGGCACCCCACTGCTGACCAGCCTCCCAGAGAAAGTGCGCAACTTCCTGGCCAGCCAGGTGCCCTTCCCCAGCCGACTGGGAGACCCTGCTGAGTATGCTCATCTGGTACAGTCCATTATCGAGAACCCATTCATCAATGGAGAGGTCATCCGACTGGATGGAGCCATCCGCATGCAGCCATGAAGGGAGAGGGCAGAGAAAATACATACTCTTCCACCCTTCCCCTGACATACTATACTCCAGCTTGGGAGGAAGCCCAGTAGCCATTTGGTAACTCTGTCCACTAGTCACCTTCTGTGCCTAATAAAGTCTATTTCTTACAGGAAGTATGCAGTGCTGTGTGCTGGGGGAACTGACATGGGGAAGAAAGGTGAATGGGTGAAGACTGACAGGGTTGGATGCACAGATCGCAGGGGTGGCATGGGAAAAGCAAGACCTCACACCTTTTGTGTCCTATTACAACATGTGGCCTTGATTTTAATGAACAACTTTATTACCTAGGCTCGCAGGTTGGGGTACGGGCTCAGCTATCTTCCTCTGGGGAATGGACTGTGGTAGGGGTCTGCAGCATTTTCCTCTGACTTCTAGCTTCTGTGAGCTTGATGGGGGTGAGGGGAAGGAAGAGATGACCATCTGGAGTTCAGCGGCTGCTGGTGTTGAACTGTAGGTGATATTGGGCTGTAGGTTGATTGGTGTAGATTACTGAATTCAGGTAATTCTGCCTGTGAAAGAAGTGCAGAGGCCTCAACTCATGGACTTTCCCTCTCTCCCTGGCCCTCACCATTCCTCCCCACCCCTTGGCAGTCATCCCGGCTGCCCTCCCCTAGAACTCACTGGGCTTTTTGCTCACTAGCCAGCTGCTGGTTGAAGGAGCCCAGTCCCCTCCGGAATTCAGCACACAGTTGCCTCTCCTGCTCTTCTAGCTCCATGGCTGCTTGGGCCAGGCATATGGCCTGTCTTCCCCATTCAGCATCCTGTGCTTGTTCAGCCTGGCGCTGTGCCTCCTTTTCTCGGCATTGCGCCTCCTGGAATTTCTTGATATCAGTTTGCTGCTCTGCAGCCACGCTCTTCCCGCTATGGGGCAGGACCTGGCAGGGAGCCACAGAGCACTGGGCGATGTGGGGTTTCTCATTTAGTAGGTCACTCTTGATCTGGTTCTGGATCTCCTTCAAGTTGGCCTCCTGTTCACGCTGATACTCATGGCGCCGTCTCTCAGCCACCTCAGCTGCCTGGTGGGATCCCCGAATGTGAGCATTTGGGTGCCCAACCTCAGGGAACTCTCAGTCACGGGAGGGGGAGATGCCCTATTCTCCTCCATCTCAGAGCTATTGCATGGCCCTTGAGTGACCTAATGTGGGGAAGGGGTAGAATGGACAGGGAACTTCCCTGCCCTCTGAAAGCCCATAGACTGAGCAGCTGGGGAGGGGAGGGCAGTGTTCTCTTCTCAAGTCAGCCTGAGTCTGGAGGTAGGGAATGGCTTCTGCCCTAAGAGGGCCCTTGGGTAAAGAGAGAAGTCCTCAGGTAGATGAGAGGGCTGGTGTTGATTCGAGAAGTATTGTGAGGGGAAAGATGTGGCTAAGATTCCCCAGGACTTTGTTCAGAGGGTTAGGGAGAGCCCAGAGCACTGGATGGCTCAGGCCATACCTGGGCTTTGTTGGCGTTGGCCATGGCACACCTCATGGCTATGCGACAGGATTCCTCCAGCTTGGCCAGCTGGGCAGCCCGTGTTTCCACGGCTAGGCGCAGCTTCTCACGGAGATCATCTATACACAGAAATATGACCAGGGCACTGTACTGGCCTGCTTCATTCCTGGTCCACTCATTCAGCAGCCATTTGTTCGACAAGCGTTGTTGGTGTATGTGTATGCATGTTTCGGAGTGGGGGGTAATATCCTAATTGTAGGGATGTGCAAAGAGCTACTTTGTAGGGCTAAGGATAGCCAAAGTGGCAGTAATGAGGATTTCTCAAGTGCCTAACTGAAAGATGCCTCCAATGGACCTGGATCCCAGTGCCAGCTCTATTGCTTCTAAGCTGTGTGACCTTAGGGAAATCGTTCCATCTCTCTGAACTTCAGTCTAAGACCCATGTGTTGGGTTCTGAAGATACCATGGAATTAGATCCTGTCCTCAGAGGGCTCCCTGTCTAGTTGGGGAGTTGGATCAAACATAGGTCATCACCATAGAGATGTGTACAGGGCATTATGAGAGCTTTAAATGATGGGTCAGAGGAAGGCTTCCAGGAGGAGGTGATCCTTAAAATACAGGTTGCATATAGGCATAAAGAGCAAAGGGCATTCCAGGCCACGGGCATAACATGAGCAAAGGTATTGACACTTAAATTGCCACACTGGTCTTGCTGTTTCTAAAACATGCCAGAGACTCCTGCCTCATAGATTTGCAATACATGTTACTCTTGACTCAGCTTTCTCACTTCCCACAGGTCTTTGCTCAAATGTTACTGCTTCAGTAACACCTTCCCTCTCCCTCCTACCTAAAATTACAACCTGCCTCCCTCCAACATTTATTTCCCTTCCCTGATTTTTCTCCCTAGCATTTGTCACCATCCAGTATATTCTACATTTAAAATTATTTTGTCTATTGCCTGTCTCTCCTCACTAGAAGGTAACCTTTGCCCTTGCCAGTTTGGCTCAGAGGTTAGAGTGTTGAACCTGCGGACTGAAGGGTCCTGGGTTCGATTCCCGGTCGAGGGCATGTACCTCGGTTGTGGGCTTGATTCCTGGCCCCAGGCGGGGCATGTGCGGGAGGCAACCAATCGATGTGTCTCTCTCACTTGATGTTTCTCTCTCCCCCTATTCTATTCTCTCTGAAAAAATATCCTCTGGTGAGTATTAAAAAATAGAAATAAAATAAAATCAATAAAAGTGTTTGGGAAAAAAAGAAAGTAACCTTTGTGAGGGCAGGGTTTTTGTCTGTTTTATTTACTACCATGTTCTAGCACCTAGTAGGTGCTCAATGAATTCATTTGACAAACATTTATTGAACACCTACATAGTAGGCTAGAGAGTTTTGCAGGGCTAGACTAAGGGCCAGAAACTTCACTTGAGGGTGGTGGGGAACATGGGAGGACTTTAAGCAAGGAGGTGACACAGATTTGCATTTTAGAAAGCTTCTGGTGGGAGACAATGGAGGTAGAGAAGCCATCTTGGAGGCTAGCAGTAGGCCAGTTGGCAGGACTCAAACTAGGCCAGTGATGGAAAGGATAGAGGGGAAATATATAGGAGGTTACATCAGCAGGACTTGGATGAGGGAGTAAGGGAGAGAAGACTCCCTGAGTGCTTCTCAGGGTGCTGGTTTAGATGACCGGTGCATGGTGTGGCCACCACCGGAAGTAGAAGATACAGAATAAAGAGCAGGTTAAGGGGCACTGATGAATTCTGTTTAGGAAGCAGAGTTGGAGGCGGTCAGCAAGTATCTGGCTATCTGATTCTGCATGTAGAGAGCACAGAAGTGATGACATAGTAGCTAAAACCAGAATGGGGACTGAGGACATCTGAGGTTAGTGTGCAGGGTAAAGAGAGCAGTGTGCCAGGGACAAAGTCCCAAGAAGGAAGGAGTAGAAGGAAGAGGAGCCACAAAGGGCAGACAGAGAAGGATGGTCAGAGAGCTACGGGCAGAATGTGCTGTCACAGAAGCCAAGGAAGAGAAGTTCAAGAAGGAAGATGTGATTAGAGTCAAGTGGAGCAAGAAAGATCCAGTCAAAGAGAAAAGAGTAAACAGAGCCTCTTGGACCTGAACCTGATAACACCAAAGGCCTTGGTGATTTTAGTGAGAGTGGTGGCAGTGAAGTTGTGTTGGGAGAAAGATCTGAGGGAGCTGAGGTGTGACTGGAAAGTACGGAAGAAGAGACAAGTGGAAGCAGATTTTTGCAAAAGTATAGTTGGGCTCGGCCAGGCGTGGCTTAGCGGTTGAGCGTCGACCTAGGATCCAGACAATCGGGGTTCAATTCCCGGTCAAGGCACATGCCCGGGTTGTGGGCTCGATCCCCAGTCAGGGGTGTACGGGAGGCAGCCGACCAATGACTCATCATTGATGTTTCTATCTCTCTCTCTCCCTGTCCTTTCCTCTCTCTGAAATCAATAAAGATATATTTTTAAAAAGAAAAAAGAAAAAGTATGGTTGTAAAGACAGCCGGCTAGCTCACAGCTTCTAGAGGAATCACAGGGTGGAGGGAGGCGTCTGTCTCTTTAAGATGGTTTAGGCTTTAGCATGTTTATAGCCTGCACAGAAGGGGCCAGTGGAGGGGGAAGTTCGAGAACACAGGGGAGGGGACCCCTGAGGGAGCACAGCCTGGGGGTGGGGCAGGGAGAATGAAGTCTAGAGCACAGGCTGAAGGCTTGGCTTTGAAGAGGCACAGTGACATGGACTTCAGAGACTGGAGGGCCGGGGGTGGGGAGGGGGAGACAATAGGGGTGTGCTGTTTCATTTCACTCTTCACAGCAACCTGGAGAATCAGCCCCATTTTTCAGATGGGGACACAGAGAGGTTAGAGGTGAAGTGAAAATACCCAAAGTTATAGTCAGCAAGTAGCAGGTTGGGATTTGAATCCAGGTCTCTGAAGGAATCAGCCCATGTTCCTTCCATTGCACTAAACGGACTCTCACTTAGCACAGTGCTGTCCCTGTGCCCTGCTCTGCCTTCTCATATGCCTCCCTGCTGCCATCAGGCAGCTGGCCCCACAGTGCCACTACAACTGCTCCAACAAAAATCACCAACTACTGCTAATTTCCAAATCCAATACACAGGACACAGGGCTCCTTTGTTCCTGTCCGAACTGCTCCAGAGCATTTGACATTATTGACAACTCCCTCTCTGAAATTCCCCTCTTGGCCTCTGAGGCCCCACTTTCTCACAGAGACCAAGAGAAGGCTGGTATGGCGTAGTGGTCAAGAGCATGAGCTCTGTAGCCAGCCTGCCTGAGTTCACTTCCTGTTTCCATCACCCATAGCTATATGACTCTGGGCAAGTTACTTTGTTCTTCAGTTTTCTCTGCTGAAAGTGGGGATAATACTAGTACTTGCCTCATAGAGCTGTTGTGATGATTAGTTACATATATGGTAGAAAGCTTAGTATAGTATCTGCTACACAGTAAGTGTTCAATAAAGGTTTGCTATTATTATTATTTTGTGCATCTTTTTCCTACCTCCCTGATCCCTTCTCAGTCTTTATTATAGGGTCCTTCTCCTCTACTCATTCACTCAAGATATATTTACTGATCATCTATTATGTGCCAGGCCCTGTGTAAGTTACCGGGGTTGTAATGGTTAGTAAGACAGCTTTGGTCTTTGGTCTCACAGGATGCACAATTTGCTCACCCTATTCCCAGGCACCAGGCTTAGCATTCTGCTCATTTGCACACACACACACCCCCCCATGGCCCCCAAATCTCTCCCTGCAGCCCAGACTGGCCCTGGAACTTCAGGATCATATTAACTATGTAGCTGCCTGTCAGCCAACTCCTCTTGGCTGCAGTAGTCTTCTACCTGATCTCTTTGCCTCTAGTCTAACCCCCTCTAGTCCAACCTCCTCTTTTGGCTGACAGAGTTTGTCTAAAACACAAATCCTGTGACTCCAATGCTCAAAACCTTCCTGTGGTTCCTACCTCACTCAGTAAAAGCTGAAGTCCTCATCATCCCATAGGCCTACTCGATCAGGCCCCTTTCACCTCTCTGACCTCACTTCCTACCATTATTCCCCTCACTTACTTTACTGCAGCTACTCTGGCTTCATTGCTCTTCCTCAAACATTCCAGACACCCTCTCTCCTGCCTCAGGGCCTTTGCACTAGCTATTTCCTCTATCTGGACAGTTCTTCCTTCAAATATTTGTGCTACTCACTCCCTCATCTTCAGATCCGTTGTCAAGTGTTACCTCAGTGAGGTTTTCCTTATTTATTTTTATTTTTTAAAAATTTGTCTTTATTGTTGAAAGCACTAGATATCCCCTCTTTCTCTCCCCTTTGATCCCCTCCATCCCGCATTCGCTCCCCCCCAGGTCTTCACCACACTATTGCCTGTGTCCATGGGTTATGCATATGTGTATATAAGTTCTTTGATTAATCTCTCCCCACCCACTCCCCCACCCCTGCTTTCCCACTAAGATTCATCAGTCTGTTCCATGCTTCTATGTCTCTGGATCTACTTTGTTCCTCAGTCTATTTTGTTTATTAGATTTCACATATGAGTGAGATCACGTAAAACTGAATCAGGAAGAATCAGAAAATCTCAATAGGCCAGTAACAACTGATGAAATTGAAGCAGTAATAAAAAAAAAAAACTCCCAGCAAACAAAAGCCCTGGTCTGGACAGCTTCACATGTGAACTTTCTAATTCTTTAAATTGTAGGGTTAGATAGTGTTGACTTTTTGTCTGGAAGATCTATCCAGTGAAGTCAGTGGGGTGTTAAAGTCCCCACCTATGACTGTATTGCTGTTGATCTCTCCCTTAAAGTCTTTAAGGTTATCATTGATAGGTCCTTATTTATTGCCATTTTAATTCTTTATGCCTATGTTTCTCTCTCTATTATTATTACAGCAGTCCCTTTAACATTTCTTGCATTGCCATTTGGGTGGTGATAAACTCCTTTAGACTTTTTTGTCTGGGAAGCTCTTTATTTCACCATCTGTTTTGAATGATAGCCTTGCTGGATAGAGTAGATCCTTGTTTTGCATTACCTTGAATGCTTCATGCCATTCTCTTCTGGTCTGTAGAGTTTCTGATGAGAAGTCATCTGAAGTCAGCCTATGGGAGCTCCTTTGTAGGTAACAGATTGCTTTTCTCTTACTGCCTTTAAGATTCTCTCTTTGTCTTAAATTTTTGGCATTTTAATTATGATGTGTCTGGGCGTGGGCCTCTTTGGTTCTTCTTGCTTGGGACTCTCTGTGCCTCCTGAACTTGTGTGACTTTTTCCTTGACCAGGTTAGGGAAGTTTTCTGCCATTATTTCTTCAAACAGGTTCTCTAACCCTTGCTTACTTTCGACCTCTTCTGGCACTCCTATGATGCGAATATTGTTACATTTCATGTTGTCCCACAGCTCCCTTAGACTGTCCTCCTGTTTTTTAATTGTTTTTTCTTTTTGGATCTCTGATTGAGTGATTTTTTTCTACCCTGTCTTCTAATTCACTGATCCGATCCTCAGCTTCCTCTAATCTGCTATTTCATTCCAATATATTTTTTATTTATGCTTTGTCATTCTTAATTTCCTTCATAGTTTCCATATCTTTTTTCATGCTGTTGAGCATCCTTATGCTCAGTATTCTGAACTCTATATCTGATAGGTTGCT